ACTCTTCTCTTTCCTTCTCATCATAGCTTTAACATCTTAAAAAATCATCTGTACTTTTCTGCTTGATCACCAACTACCCTTTAGCACCTCAGTCCACTCCAGTTGGCTCTGTCCTCACGTCACCAATAAAACAGCTCTTGTTAAGGTCACCACTCACCTCCATTATGCTAAATGCAGTGGACACTTCCATTCATCAGTTTATTTGACTTAGCATTTAACACATTGGCTGTTCCTTCCACTCTCATTCTATCTTACCTCTCTGGTCACTCCTCAGAATGAATTCCCCTATTCATCCTCCAGATTGCATTGCATGCTGTTCTTTTGTAGCTCTTGTCCTACTACAACTAGAATAATTATTTGACCTTGGCTATGTTTTTCATACTTGTATCCTTAGCTCATGCTGGGCATATAGTAAATACTCAATAATTATCTGTGGAATGAATGAAAGAAAAGATGGGAAGTGAATCAGAATATGTCTTGAAAATCATTTCATGCTTTAGAGTTGTAAAGAATATCAGTTAAATTGAACTATATGAAATTGCCAGTATTAGGCTACTTATGACTCCTGAAAGGGTGATTTCTATGGTAAAAGTTAATAATTGTGTTTATTTGAAGAAAGACTAGTTGTTTTGACCTCTTTGTATATATACTATATTAAATTCAAGCTTAATGTTAAAATTGCCCACATTATGATCAATTGTTTACAGGTAAATTTTCTTTTAGTGCATTTTCAGGTCATCAGAATGTACCATGTGGTGATTTACTGCTTCACTGTGTAGTACTAAATAGTACCTATCCTTGTATATGACAAAAGCAGAGGACTTTGACTTATTGGATTTTATTTAAACTTTTAATTTTTGTTTTTTTTCTCTTTTCCTTTTCAGCATTTACCTCTTTGATATCTGGCAGTTATAGGTGATATATGAAATAGCTAATGATTTTTAGTAACTTACATTGTAAAAGTTATTGATACAATTTATTTGGCTGATTATACATTTTATATGCAACATTGTTTTAATATTTTATACTTTAATTTACAGAAAGAGAACTTACTTTGGAAGTTGAGAGGATGAGGCTAGAACATGGAATAAAACGACGAGACAAGTCACCTTCTCGTTTAGATACGTTTCTGAAAGGTATAGAAGATGAACGAGATTTTTATAAGAAAGAGCTAGAAAGACTCCAGCATTTAATACAGCGAAGATCTTGCTCTCGAAGTCATTCTACATGTGAAAAAATTCCAGTATTTAAGACACTAGAAAAGGTAATATATCTTTATGAGAGTAATTGATAAGGCAAGAAAGTATCTTTATGAGCAAACTTTTATGGTTTATTATTGTATTAAATGTAACGTTATTCTACTTGCTTTTAAGAAGTCTTTCTTAATTTTGATTTTTGTTCTCTTCCATGACCTGTACTTTAGGAACACTGCATTAATTAGGAAAACTACTTAAGAACAAAGCAAAGCATACTGACTCCTGGAAATTAAGGAAAGATTGAATAGCTCATTATATATATGAGAGGAGTGCAGGGGCATCTGAGCTTCCAGAAACTGGAACCAGGAACTCATGCTATTGGATATTTCCTCTCTTTCTATCGTTTACTTTCTTTTTTTTTTTTCCTTGCGTTATGCGGGCCTCTCACTGTCGTGGCCTTTCCCATTTGCGGAGCACAGGCTCCGGACGCGCAGGCTCCGTGGCCATGGCTCACGGGCCCAGCCGCTCTGCGGCATGTGGGATCTTCCCGAACCGGGGCACGACCCCGCGTCTCCTGCATCGGCAGGCGGACTCTCAAGCACTGCGCCACCAGGGAAGCCCTATCGTTTACTTTCTGTATCAGATGCATTTTGTCTCTTGAAGCAAAGTGGCTTTGTTTATATGGCTTCATGCCATTCCCAGCCTTGGACCAGTCAGAAAGCCAGGCCATATTGTACAGACAAGTCATCTTCCATGATAACTATGCAACAGCGGAAGGTACAAAATGTCAGTGAGTGCTGGACAGATCATCCCATTTGTCCACTACAATCACATTTACAACTCGGTGGTCTAAAGACATATATTACTTAAAGTTAACCATGATTTATAAGAGATTAAAAGCATGTGTCTCTATTTTAGGTCTTAATTATTTTCAACATTTTATAAATATCATTTGGGGTCTTTAGATTTTTCTTTATTTTAAGCTTTGGAGCTATGGGAGTCCTGGAGGCTTATGTGACCCTAATGTTGTCTACACACTAGATAAAATTAGGGGAAGTTAGGAGTAAAATCATTAAAACTCAGAACATTTGATTTCAGACTTGGCTCTATTAACCAATTATGTCATCTTTTTCCTGAAGATCTCTGTCCATTGTCAAATGGTTTTGAGTCATTTTCTGATTAGACTGTTTTTTAACCTCATTGGCTAGTGGCTGAATTTGACTTACAAAGTTTAGTTTAAACACTATGCTGTGTTATCTGTTACAAGCACAATGAATTGGTGGAAAATGCAGTGTAAGTTAATTTATGTGTACTGAGTTGTTTTCAAGCTCCATATATACCTAGGGATCGGGAAAAATCACTGAATTGATCACCTTCATTGTGTCAGACAATCTTCTACAAGATGGTTGATGAGTTTAATCAAGTATTTATTAAATAGAACTGAGTAGATAAGTACCTCAACGCTTTTAAATATTTGATTTGTTTGCTTGGTGTGAATTCATAATTGAAAGACAAATTGAGATGTACTGGTAAGGTACTGGTGAAATTAGGAGAGACTTTCCCCCCCTTCAACTTATTTACTTCTTGAAATATTCTAATGTTACCTGACGTAGATAAAGAATTCACTTTCTAAAGTTTAGAAAGTTGGGACATTGATAGCATTTTAAAGTCCCAGTAATAAATTTCAGGCATGGTAGGGAATAATAGGTGATGTACATGAGTGAAATGGGTGGAGTGATAGTTGTGAGTGCTGGGAACTAGAGTAAATTCCCACCTAAAATTGGGTATTTTAAACGTGTTTAGAAACACTTGTTGGCAGACATCAAAGACCTCTCTAAAGCTGAATTAGGTACAGGCTGTGAGTTTTCAACCCCTGCTTTATGGCAAATTGTTAGGCAGAGTTTCTTGGGATTGCAGCAACTCAGAAAAATATTGACATTTTTAATATCAATGATTTTTGTCAACAGTACACCCATTGATTCTCTGTTGTCTGTGTAGGAACGGCACTGTCCTCTTTCACGTTGTACTGACTAGGGTTCCAAATGTGAGTTTTGAGTATAGTGTAGCAGAAAGTGCTTTGGAGTTGGAAACCTGATAGAAGTTTCAACTCTGCACACTCGCTTTATGACCTTAGACAAGTTACCTAACTTCACGTTTCCTCATTTGCAAAGTGAGGAAAGTAACTACAGCCTCTTGTGAAGGTTACATGAGATAATTTGTAGAAGGGTTCAGCATAACACCTAGTTCCTAGTAAATGTTTCATTTCCTTATTATTTGCTGGTTCAAAGCACATCAGATCTAGGTAGAAAGTTAGGTTCAGTTCAGTAGACATATACTGAGAATGTACTATGAATGAGACACCTAGAATATGAGATAAAGAAGACCTATTTCCTATCCTCACAGTCTTTAGCATTGTGTGTGCGTGTGTGTGTGTGTGTGTGTGTGTGTGTGTGTGTGTGTATTAGGAACAATGGAGTGGTAAAAGGGAATTATTAACACAAATATAAATGCCTACATACAAGATCTATTTGGAAAAGTAGAGAATTCATTCATTTTACTGGGTACCATGCTAGGTGCTGAACATGTGGTAAGACCAGATACCTACTGTGTCCCTGATAGAGCTTACATTTTAGTGGTAAAGACACATTAAATACCCAATCATGTAAATAACTTTATAATCTCATGTAAAGTAAGTGTTAATGAGGAAAGAATACAGGAAAGATGCAGAATGCTATGAGAGTACATTGAGGGAGATCTGAATTAGGTTGGAGGATCCTGAAGGACTCCTTAGAGAAAGTGATGTCTAAGCTGAGACCTAGACAGTAATGAAAATAGACTGTCAAATCCTTATTCATTGAGCTCTCCTTTCTAAAACATAGGCAGCCCACCTCCTTTCTGTAAGATATTTTTATTTAGATACTGTTAAGTTACAGATTTTCTTTTATTGTTATTTAAACCTTGATTAAGTCCTCACCCTAATTGCTTTTGTCCTGTAATACATCTTGTCCTTTAAGGTGTCCATATAGCTAATCTCATCCATTATGCCTTGATTTTGCTTGTTTAACCAAGAGGATAACTTATTTCCAAGTGGCAGGTGAAGGGAACTTCACAGATATCTACCATTTACCAAGTCTACATTGGTCATGGTATGTGCACAGTAGATATTGAATAACATAGATCAGGATGCTTCCCAGTGTACCAAATTATTAGATTATCACTATCTGGAGCTTCTGCATTTAGTACTTGAACATTAATATACCACAGATCCCAAGTCTACACTTACCATATTTATTTTCTACAATAGCTATGAAGATAGTGGATTTTTTGAATTGTACTGGAATAATAGGCAAAATCTTGTTTTAGAAATGTTGGAAGTAGTTGCTTATTCAGTGAACGTCCCTAATGTACACCGTCTGGTAGAAGTATTTATATTGGGACTTTCCTGGTGGTCCAGTGGTAAAGAATCGGCCTTCCAATGCAGAGGACGCGGGTTCGATCCCTGGTCGGGGAACTAAGATCCCACATGCCGCAGGGCAACTAAGCCTGCACACGCCACAACTACTAAGCTCGCCCACCTCAACTAAAGAGCCCATGTGCCGCAAACTACAGAGCCCACGCTCCCTGGAGCTTGCATGCCACAACTTCAGAAGAGAAAACCCACACTCCACAACTGGAGAGAATCCTGCGTACTGCAACGAAGGGCCCGCGAGCTGCAACTAAGACCCGATGCAGCCAAAAATAAATAAATAATAAAAGAAATCTAAAAAAAAAGAAATATTTATATTTATCTGATTGCAAAAATAGACCTCACATAGGTTTGAAGCTGGGATAGTTGGGGGTTGGTGTGCTAGGGAAACTGATCTTAGATTCAGTCACAGAAGACACTGAGGAATGTGCTAGGCTGTACAGTTACTTGTACTGGATGAGCAGCTATACACATACCCTCTTAATTCCTCCCCTGGAGAGATTATAAACTAGGGATTCCCAACAATCAGTATGAATCAGAATCACCTGGAGGGCTTGATAAACCAGTTACTGGGCCCTGTCCCCAAAGTTTCTGATTGAGTAGGTCTGGGGTGGGCCCCAAAACTTGCATGCCTAACAAGTTCCCAGATGCTACATGCTTCTGGTCTGGGGATTATACTTTAGCTACCACCAGTATAAACAACTCAGGGAGAATGACAGTTGAAACATCTCATGGAATCTGATCAAGTAGCATCAATGGCAACTGGGTCCCTTGCTGGGAACTTGAAGGCCAGGAAATTTGCCCCAGTACTGCCAGCACTCTCTCTCCTTCTCTCCTTATAGATTAAAAATTGTGTTCCTTAGTTACATTAAAGGAAGTTGTGTTCTTTTTGTCTGTTAGCATCTTTCAGTCAGTCTCATCATCAGCATCCTTGTGGCAACCAAATGGTGATAATTATAACAAATGATAACTTCTGTTTTTGAATTATGTTTCAGGGTGATTACAACTCAGAAATTCATCTGATCACAAGAGAAAGAGATGAACTTCAGCATATGCTAGAAAGATTTGAAAAACATATGGAGGATATACAGTCCAATGTTAAATTATTGACAGCAGAAAGAGATAAACTAAGTGTCTTATATAATGAAGTAAGATATTGATTATAATTAAGCCAACAGATTATATAGCACCAGTTAACTGTAATGGTACCAGTATATATCCTTTAAATTACTGTAATATATGGACCTTAGTGATTTTCCTTCAGAGTTAGAATTAATAAGTAATAGTTTCTACTATCATCCTGTTCCCAAAGCAGAGATTTCTATTGCTTTTTCATATTTATTCTTCCTCTTTTCTAGCTTATCTATGGGTCAGGTCAGTTAGGGATAATCCCCTATTTCTAAAACTACTGAATGAGTCTCAGCCTGACTCTGAGCCAAGTGTATCCTTGGGATTCAGACATGTTGGGATATGTCTATGAAACAGTGGGTAGCACTCACTTAATTGGATATTAAGGACTTAGCCTCTAGGGATAGGGAGGGGAGATTCAATACAGTTTGGGCTAATTATAAAGCCTCAGTTGTTAGAGGGCAAGGTGAGTCTGAGCAAAGCATGGTGTTTATCACCAAAATTTGTTCCCATACCAATCTCCCGTGAAATCCTATTGCTATTTTTAGAGGGAGAGAAGGACATACGGGTTAAGAGGCCAAGTTGAAAAAGCCGTTTTCACTTCTGGTGCTTTTTTGGGATTCTGCAGTACAAATTGATCCACTTCTGGGCTTTTCCCACTGTTAGCTTAGATTTCTGCTTTCTTGGGACTGCTTAGTTTATTACTAGTTGTCCATCTGCTATTTGGTTTCCCAAATTTTGTGGCTGGCACTTCCCTCAATCTCCTTGTCCTTTGTTTTTATTATTACTATTATTACATTAATCCTTTTACTCTCACTTTGGTGGCATTTGGGAAGAGAGCAAAAGTAGCCATATGTTTAGTTGCCTTTTTTTAACTGGGAGCATGTCCAATGTTTTTAAATTTATATCTTTAATACATTAAGGCTCAGGAAGAATTATCTGCACTCAGACAAGAATCTACCCAAACCACAGTCTCCCATAATACTGTTAGTCTTATGGAAAAGGAAAAAGAACTTGCATTATCTGACTTAAGAAGGATTATGGCAGAAAAAGAAGCTTTAAAAGAAAAGTTAAAAGTACGTATTGACTTAATTGACTTATTTTTAAAAGATAATTTATTGAGAAAAGGGGAGGTCTTTTTATATGTTTTCCTGTGACATGACTATTTTGAATCTAGATCAGGGGTTGGCAAACAATGGCACATGAGCCAAATCCAGAAGGCTGTGTTTTTGTATGGCCCGTGTGCTAAGAATGGTTTTTACATTTTAAAATCATTGAAAAAATATCAAAAGAAAAATATTTCATGAGACATGAAAATTATGAAACTCAGATTTCATTGTTGATAATACTTATTAATTGGAATACTCATTGGAATACTCATTCGTTTATGTGTTTTGTGTAGCTTTTTTTGTGCTGCAGTGGCAGAGTTGAGTAACTGCAATAAAAATTGTATGGTCCACAAAGCCTAAAATATTTATCTTCTGGTTCTTTATAGAAAAGAACCAACCTCTGATCTCAATAGGAAGTCCTTCATGTGGAGGGGCATTATCTTTCTTTGCAAAACAACTTCATTGAGATATTCACTTTACTATATAATTCATCCATTTAAAGTGTACAATTCTTTGGTTTTAGTATATTCACAGCCTTGTTCAACCATCACCACAATCAATTTTAGAGGATTTTCATTACCTCAAAAAGAAACCCTGTACCCAATAGCAGCCACTCTTAATTTTCCCCAGCCTCCTCAGGCCTAGACATGTACTCTGGACATTTCATATAAATTGAATTATTCAGTATGTGTTTCTTAATGTCTGGCTTCCATAGCTTAGCATAATGTTTTCAAGGTTCATCCATTATGTAGTATGTATCAATACTTTATTCCTTTTTATTGTGGAATAATATTCCATTTTATGGATAGAAAATATTTTATTTATCATTGGGGTGGTTTCTACTTTTTGGCTGTTATGAATAATGGTGCTATGAACATTTGTATACAACTTCTTATGTGGATATATGTTTTCATTTATCTTGGACATATACCTAGATTCATATGATAACTATAACTAACCATTTGAGCAACTGCCAAGCTGTTTTCCAAAATGGCTTTACCATTTCTATTCCCACCAACAGTGTACAAGAGTTCTAATTTCTGTACATCCTCACCGATACTTGTTATTATCTTTTTTATTATCATCATGCTGGTGGGTGTGAAGTAGCATCCATTGTGGTTTTCATTTGCATTTCTCTGTAGCTAATGTGCTTATTTTCAGTGCTTATTTGGTCACTTGTATATCTTCTTTAGTGTCTATTCAGATCCTTTGCCCATTTTTAAATGGGGTTGTCTCATTATTATTGAATTATAAGAATACTTTATATCAATATATTCTCAATACAGTTCCCTTGTCAGATATATGATTTGCAAATACTTTCCCCCATTCAGTTGGTTGTCTTTTCATCTTCTTAGTATTGTCCTTTGAAGCACAGATAGTTTTTAATTTTGATGAAGTCCAATTTATCTATTTTTTCTTTTATTGCTTGTGCTTTTGGTATAATATCTAGGGATAGTATTTTATATTTCATAATCTCCCCCCAAATTTTAATATACGTAAAGCACTTAATACTGCTCAGTACATTATAAGAACTCAATATTAAACTATTACTGTTAACTATTACGGAGTCCATAGTTTACTTCCAATAAATATTATTGAATTAATGCTTAGAAATTAGTCGCTAAGATTAAGAATAAAAACATTTAAGTATTATAAGGGTAGTCTTTATGTCATAAATTTTCAGTTAAAGTTTTACCCCTACAGAATACTTTTAATTGGGATCCTTTGGAATATTGCCTTCCAGAAAGTGTTTTTTTTAATAAAAATAATTGTTAAAATTACCAAATGGAAAACTTCTGTGCAATATGGCAACTTTTAGTACAAGCTACTAGTTTAGCCTTTTCCATATCATTGAAATGACTAAGAAATGTAAAAACAGGATTAAAAAAATGCACTTGTACCAAAAACTCAGAAAAAGTGACATTCATATGACCAGAATCTTTCTGGATTACAAGAGTCAGGATTTATGAGTTTGCAGTAGGTCTTTTACATAAAAACTGAACTAATCCTCTCAGTCTTTAAGTCTTCTCTAGTAGTTTCCTGTTGTTCCACTATCTATCTACCCAGTTGTTGAACCCAGGCACTGAGTCCTCTTTC